GGTCGATCAGGCATTTGGAAGAAGACAAAAACGCCCTACCTTAGACCAAATACAAAAACACATTCTAGGGCGCCTGAGTGGCTCAGATGGTTAAGCTTCTGCCTTCGGCTCAGGTCATGATCCCAGGGTCCTGGGATCGAGCCCCACATCAGGTTCCCTGCTTGGCGGGAAGCCTGCTTCTCCCTCTCCCACTCTCCCTGCTTGTGTTCCCTCTCTTGCTATGTCTCTCTCTGTCAAATAAATAAAATCTTTAAAAAAAAAAACCAAACACATTCTAGATGAATTATAGATTTACATGTAGAAATCGAAATATTAAAATATCATTTAGGAAATTGCGGAGACTAAATGCATACATACGTTGGAGTGGAGTAGACCTTCCCAGCCAGACTGGAAACCCAGAAGATGTAAAGGAAAAGACAGGTATTTCACAACAAAAATTTTTAAATGTTGTAACAGGCAAATCTAAATGGCTAATAAACATGAAAAACTCTTCAGCCGAAGTACTAGCCAGAGTTTGCCAATGAAAGCAAAAATGAAAATCCATTTTTCAGGGGCTCCTGGCTGGCTCAGTCGGTAGAGCATGTGACTCTGGATCTCGGGGCTGTGAGTTTTGAGCCCCACGTTGGGTGTAGAAATTACTTAAAAATAAAAATTAAAAACAAAAGAAAAGAAAATCCATTTTTCACTGAAGGTGGTGACTGGACTAGGGTGGGAGAGTTTTCTAGTAAGGAAATTGAAGACTGCAGAGGACATGAATAGGTATTTCTCTCTCTCTCACACACACCATAAATGGGAAAAAATAAGTCACACTACTAATTAAAGAAACACAAATTAAAAGAAAATGCCACGTTTCACTTTTCTAACTTGCAAAGATTTCTATAAATAATAACGCCCAGTGTTCTGTGGGTGAGGGTATGGACACATATATGCTGCTGGAAGAATCACAAGATGGTAGAACCTTCTGGAAATCAGTATATCAAAAAAATTCAAGATGTACGTATCCCTTGAGTCTGCAATTCCACGTGATGCATTTATTCTCAAGAAATAGAAACTAGGGGCACCTGGGTGGCTCAGTCGGTTAAGCGTCTGCCTTCAGCTCAGATCATGGTCCTGGGGTCCTGGGATCGAGGCCTGAGTCAGGCTCCTTGCTCAGTGGGGAGCCTGCTTCTCCCTATGTCTCTCCCCCAGCTCGTGCTTTCTTCTCTCTCTCTCTCTCCCAAAAATAAATAAATAAATAATCTGTTTTTTTTAAAGATTTTATTTATTTATTTGAGAGAGAGGGTGAGAGAGAGAGAGCGCGCACATGAGAGGGGGGAGGGTCAGAGGGAGAAGCAGACTCCCCGCTGAGCAGGGAGCCCGATGCGGGACTCGATCCCAGGACTCCAGGATCATAACCTGAGCCGAAGGCAGTCGCTTAACCAACTGAGCCACCCAGGCGCCCAATAAATAAAAAATCTTAAAAAAAAAGGAACAAAAATCCCCCCAAAAACAATATATATGTTTTCAGTGCTAATACATACATTACAAAACATACACAGAAAATAAATTTTAAAAGGATAAATTAAAATTCCAACATTTTCTTCCCACAGATCCATGGAGCATTTCCTGGAGGATACATACCTCCCTGGAGACCACCCATGTCGTCTGTTGGTGGTAAAAAGCATCAAGGTTAGCTGGTGCAAAAAAGAATGTGTAAAGTCAGTGAATTCTGTGAAAAGTGACCCTATGTCAACCCTTATGGAGAGACAGAATGGGACGGGAGAGCCGCTGGAGCTACAGAATGTTTATGTTCTTGGGACCACAGAGGTTGGGGAAAAAAACATAGTTCTAGTTCGGTCAGCGGTCTTGGTCTTGGTCAAGGCTGATTCCTGCTTGTCCCTGCTCTGCCATTCTCACCCCCATCCGTGGGGCTCCCGTCCCTTTTCTGATAGTATAAGAAAAACCCCCATGGAAAGTGGCATCGACAGTAATTAAAAACTGATTAGCATGTCTAATTAAGTGCACTTGGGGAGAGGTCTGAGGCGTTTGGAAGAGGCAAGGTCATACGGGAAAGAATTCTGGTTATCTCTGAAGTGTTCACCGGAGCCTACGAGCTCAAAATGCTCAGGTGTGACTTCTCCCGTAGATCAGGGCCAAGTCCGTGCAGATGCTCATATGGCGGGAGCGCTGCTGCTTGGAAGGAAACACCAGCCAACAGCCAAAGCGGGCTCTCTGGGAACCCATATGCTAGCCTGCAACCAGAGTAACCACACTGTCCCATAGTGGAGGCATATCCACTGCCCTGGGAGGCATTCTTCCTGCCCTGGGAGGGGGGATGGAGGAACCAGCCTTGAGCCTCTCATGGGTCACAAAAGCAGGCACCGGCCCTTGGGCCTCCAGCTTTAAAGGGAAGGCTGATTTCAGGAAAGAAAAAAAGAATCTGAAAGAATTCCCATCACTTGGATATCCACTAACTCAGCCAGTTGAGGCTGACCTGGGGAAATTCTTGGGAGTCTTTAGAACCATTTCCTTCCTCTAGTGAATGCAGAAGATATACAACAAAGATCCCCAAATATCCAAATGTCTAAAGAGGCATGGGAAAGAATGTTCGTTGTCAATATTCACTGGAAAGGAAAAACCGGAAACCCAATTTTCCATGGAGAAAAACCAACCAGTTAAATAAACTATCTCCATACTATGCAATTCTAAATCACAGTCAATAATGAGGATGTGTGGGGTGCCTGGGTGGCTCAGTCGTTAAGCGTCTGCCTTCGGCTCAGGTCATGATCCCAGGGTCCTGGGATCGAGTCCCGCATCGGGCT